GCCCTGGTGTGTCTGTTCTGTAACAGTTTTTGGCATTCCCTGGGTGGGCCAAATATTGCCCCCCTTGGACCTCTGTTCTGTAACAGTTCTAGGGATGGGACAACTACTATGTGCCAGGCCTAGGGCCCGGCACTTGACTACCCAACAATCGTTCAATCTTCTCTGTGACCACAAGAGGTCGCTATTATCCCCCACATTTCACAGAAAAGGGACCTGGATGCTCAAAAAATTTACACAAGGAAGCTAGGTTCTCATTGCTAGTAAGTGACAGGTCAGCATTTAACTTCTGATCTGTTTGATCCCCATATCATGCTGTCTTGGAGGCTGAACCTGCAAATCCAAGTTTCAAAAGGACACAGCAACTCCACCTCGATTCCATAAGTCTGCTGCATCCTCCTGTTGCTGCTTCTTCCTCAAGTGACCAGGTTGCTCATGTAGACCAGCCACGGCCCCAGGAACAGCCTTCCACTCACAGCTCCCCTCCGGAGCTCAGCAATGCTGCTACCACTAACGCTGCTACTGAGGCCATTCCTCTCATAGCACCCCTCCACCTTGGCTAACACTGACGGGTACTTTCTCTGGGTCAACCGAGCTCTCTACAGACATGGTTACATTGCCTTCTGGGGTTGGCAGGGTAAGGCATTTAGAAAAGTATTTCAGCTTAAACCATTGATAGCTTGAATTCTTCCTTTTTTTTTTTTTCTCGTAAGTGTTTGACTTCACATAGCCAAAAACTAACATTAACTGTTTCTGGTTCTGTCAGATCTGTTCTCTCAAAGTTTTACTGTAGCTTTCTTTTGTATCAGTATATTTTTCTTAAGCCTGGGAAAGCCACAGGTCCCACTGAACACAGGATGATCTGCTTTGCAACTATTATATTTACATGGTCATGAACAGTTTCCTCTTTCATTTCCAAAGTGTTTGCTTATCCTTCTTAAACCTGCTATTGCAGCTAGGGAGAACCGGCAAATGTTTTGCAAGGCCGTAGGGCTCACTGCAGGCTGTAACTCTACACTTCTCTCAGAAAGCTTCACCCTGTGGGCATCTTTGCAGACAGCGTGTAGGTCCCACCTGCTTTCTTCTCCTGGGGGTGGGGTGAGGGGAGCTTTGTTCAAGTGAATGATGCTGGGTGTGTGTGCACAGTGCCTCTCTCCATGCACCCCTAGTGGTCCGGCCATTCCAGGAGTGGGCTACATCCTTCACTTCGCAGGATGAAGAAGAAAATAATGTGATTTGCAATCTATACTAAGAAAAGCAAAGAAACACGAGGGCAGAGAATGTTTGTGTCCCATATCAAGACATATTTCCCTGCCTAAGGAAAGCCTTCCTTAGAAAGCATCTATCATCCACAGCAGTGTGCACGCTCAGCCTGAGAGGCGATCGTGTTAAGGAACCCAATTTGGAAGCTGCAACTTGGTCATGTTACCGAACAACAAGAGGTGGTCTGAGGGAGGGGCAATACAATATTTGGCCCATCCAGGGATGCCCAAAACTGCTATACAACAGGGGCCCCTCCCAAAAACCAAAATACTAAAATCTACTGGGCCCTTCTGTCCGCCGCCAATTGGAAACACATCTCTTAATGCCAGAGATTTGTGAAAAGGAAACAAAATGTTTATTTAATGCTATTCAGGCCTAATGCCACCACTAAAATATCAAAGTCCTTTAGGTTGTACACCTACACCCACACAGCGCTCCCTTCCCTCTTGTCCCAACTCCGGGTACCGTAAATCAGGAAAAGAGCACACGTCTGTGTTGCAGGCCGCTGGCACCGTCAGCTGTGTCACTGTGCAGGATCTCGAGTTAATCCAAAGTACTGTGGTCCCCTCTCATGGTCCACTGGCAAGAGTCCTTTGTATCCAGTTCCAGTCAAAATCTCTGTTGCTTTTCAGGCCCCGCGGCCAAAGGGGGCACCCCAAAGCCGCGTGGGCCTCTTCTACCAAAGCTGCAGGAGTCCGCACTCCACCAAAAGCATGTGGCTGTCTTCTTCACCTGGCTGCAGGGATCTCCATTCTGGCAAAGCTGCGTGGTTTTTCCCTTTCACCTGGGAAAGAGGGGGGTCCACACTCTGCCAAAACCACGTGGCTCCCTCTTTCACCCCACCAACAGGGGGTCCTCACTCTGCTGAAACCGCGTGGCTCTCCCTCATCTGGCCAAGCGGGGACCCTTCATGTCTCGGAGCCAGTCTTTTCCAAGCTCCCACACAGGCCTTCTCACTCCGGAGCCCAGACCCTAGTTTCCATCTTGAGTCCCTGCTAGTTCCATCCTGAGTCCAAACCCTTCTCACTCAGGAGAGCAGCTCATAGATCCCATCTTGAGTCCCAGCTACTCCCTTCTCCCCTCTAGTTCCTTCTTCCTTCCCCCTCCTGCTCCAAACTTGGCCACTGCTATTTAACATATCTATGAAACCAGTTAAAGGTTATAGATATGTTAAATAACCATTCCTCCGGAGGTTAGCTCCAAAACTGTTGCTATGCAAAATAGCTCTCAATGGCCTTGGCTCCATTCTTTCTTCCCCCTGTGGGGGGGGGGAGTGAGGACATCTTATATGTCTCTCCAATATTCCTATACACTTTGAATTCTGGACACTTTTCTAAATCTTTTTTGGGGGCCCCCCTGTCTGCACCCTGTATCAGTCACACAGTAATAAGTTTCTATTTTTTAACTTCCATGTGCAATTAGAAAAACATGATGCTACTGTGGCAATTAAAGAGCAACTACTCTTGATTAGAGGATTCCTGGAAAGCAAGAGCCCCCTCAGAGATAATCTGATTGAATGAGGAAGCAAAGGTGAGGGTATTTAGAAGGAAAAGAAAACCTCTGGCCTGGAGGTAATCTAAATTGCTACCAGTGTTGGTGTGCCTGTCAGATGAATGGGTACACTCTGCAACACTTGCGCAATGGGGCTTTGCATGATACACACACTATTTTCATCAGTCATACACAACCACATAATGGATGGCAGAAACCATGTGTGACTCCTGCCTACACTCCCCTCTCCCTGCCAAACCCCGTGCACAGTGCTGACACAGGGGTGACAGTCCACGAAAGAGTCCAAGTGTGATAGCTGACTCGGCACGTGGCAAATCAGTGCCACCATCCCTCTTTCATTCCTAGCCTGTCATTTGGCTGTGGACACTGGCCCCCTGATGGTCAGTGGCAGATTGCTTCATCTCACCAGGCCTTTGGTTGACCTCGCTTCAGGGTAAGGTCACCCATCATGCATATTTTGACCTGGTCCAAGAGCATGCTGGGGAGCTTACTGATCTCTGAGCTTACACCTTCCTACCAGGACAGAAACAGTGCTGATGCTCTGGGAGTACACTTCAGCTCTGATTACAGTCTATCAGCCCGAGACTTTTCAAAAAGTGCACATTCCAGATGGGATGGAGATCTGTTGGTGTGACTGATTAATGGACAGATAAAGATATGAGGAACTTTTGGCCACAGTTTTGGCTTGTAGCCTTTGGGGAAGCAAGGGAGGCTCTGGGTCTCCTGGGAGAGGAGGGCTCCAAGGAAGAGTGCTCTCAGCCCCTGTGGTTGGAACCCTGTTAATAAAAACCTGTTTCCTTCAACACTAATTATTGGGCCATGTGTCAAGACACCAGGTGGCAGAGCCACTGTTTGCTTGGTAACATTACGTGTCTCTCAGATTGAGCTTTGAACTGGGAGGCCTTTCTGGGTAGGACTCTCCACACCCAGCAACTGGATCTCAATGCTGGCAACCAGGGCTGGAACATCTACCTTTCCAACAGTTTGGTCCAGGACCTCCAAGGGCTGCACCGGATTCCTAGGGCCTTCCTCAGATTTCCATGATGGAATCCTTCCTCATAGAGCCCAGAGGATTTGCTGATATTTAACAAGGTCCCAGGTAACATAACTGAGTATGGTACCTGGCTTGATTCCTCACATTACAAGGGAAGGGAGAGCATCAGCAGAGTGCTGAGAATTGGCATCGGTCTCTTCCCTCTGGAAAGCAGCCACTGGCTCAGGTACCTTCTCCCTCTCTTTGGAGCTCCCAGGCATCTCTACTTTTGGGGTACTTACCCTCCGCCACCTTGTTGCTGCCACGCTTTCCAGGTGTGTGTAGAGGGGGAAGGTGGCCAAAGTGGATGCTGCTATCGGACAGACTTGGGCTCCACAACTAGCTTTGAATTCAAAAGCTCTGTGGACTAGCAAGTCATTTCACTTTGAGTTTCAGTTCCTTACTAAAAATAGGAATTATATCTTCTCGAAGAATTTTATTAGGATTAAATGACATAATGCTTACCCAGTGCCTGATACAAAGCCAACATCTCATGCATGTCAGTTGATCTTATTTGTTAATACACCATGGCCTCCCAGAGGGCAGATGGTGAGGTTTTTGTTGCTCCTGCTGGACCTGGCCCTCGGTTAGTATTTGTGGATTGGAAGACAGATAGATCTGTTGGTGCTAAACAAAGACCTGAGATGTCTAGAGATAGGAAGCCCATAAATAAACTAGTCATAAGAAAGAAGTTTGGGTGGAGCGGCCCTTCTCCATTGCCACACACATCTTCCCCTTTCTCTTTTCGTGCATTCCTTTGTATGTGTGTGAGTGTGATTTCTTTTTTCCTTCAAGGTTAGCTTTCATTTTACGTAGTTAGAGTAACAGTAAAGACTAATGATTACTGAGTGTTAGCCATGTGTCAGGCCTTATCCTCAGCTCTTCATCTGAGTTATCTCAACAAATCCTAGGAGGCACTGGCATGATCCCACATTTTAAGATAACTTAAAAATGCAGAGGTTTAGGGACTTGCTTCAAGTCACAAGCTTGAACTTGGTGGTACCAGGAAAGGAACCATGCAGACTTTGTGTTCCAAGTGCCTGAAGACTGTGCATGTATGTGCACTTGCAGTACATGTACACATACACTGTGACAAGTACCTATACACAGATCACACATGGTGTGATGTGTGGCATGTACAATGTACATATGATGGTGAGGTTGGGGGCAATGCATGTAGTATGTGTAGGGAAGGTCAGTGGGGAAAGTGTGGATGGCTTGCCAACTCCCCGCAGAAGTTCTGGTTCAAAAGTCCATAGATGATGCATGCAGGCAGCTGTTGAAGTAAGCCAGAAAGTAGCCCATGACAAAGAGCCCTCTGGCACCTGAGGAGCTATTTCTTTTGGGTTGATGCTCACAGCAAAGCTGATGCTGTTCAGAGGGGCCCAGCAGATGGTGAAGATCACAAACACCAGGAACATGGTTAGAAAGTTCCGGATGATGCTGGGCCTCAGGCGCAGCCTGCTCTCTGGCTTGGCCTTCCGACCAGCCTGGAGCATCAGCACCCAGAGGCGTAGGGGCTGAGGCTGGAGCAGAGAGCAAGCCATCTACACTCTCTCCCCCAACCTTCCCTACACATACATACATGCACACACCAGCACAAGTACACTGTACATGCCACCATATCACACAATGTGTGGTCTGCATATGTGCACACATCACACTGTACACGTACACATACCACAAGTGCACTACACATGCACACCCTTGCTGAGGCCTGAATGCAGCCACGCTGCCATGTGGGTAGACACATGGCATGGTGGCTCAGAGTCCAGTCCTGAAGAATGGGGTGGATGATGCTGTGGGTGCTCCCATCTCACAGTCTCTGCAGGCCTCCCGGCTTTGTCTGCATATTCCCAAGCTTCCTGAATGGTCTGCCTCCTCTGAACAGAACATTCTCCAGGATCACCAAGCTCAGCCCTCCAGAAAAAGCCTCAGAAAAATCACACAACCATTGATCAATATGCTTTAGGCATATTCTGGGCCAGCGTCTTAGGAAGGAGATAGGACGTAATCTAAAGTGTCTGCGTTCTAAAACCAACACTGACTCATGAATAAAGCACTGAAAACCTGAAAGTTTGGGCAACATGAAGTTCAAGGCATGAGCTAATGCCATTGCTAATGCCATTTGTTTTATTCACCAGGTGCTACACTTTCTGAGCTCCTACTACTGTGTGTCCAAAAGATAACCTTCCCACCAGAAGAGGCCCTCAAGGACACAGGAGGTGCTAGACACAGTGCTTCAAGTCTGCTGGCCACTTGTCACACAGTAAATGCCAGCTGCCAGCCTTGGAGTGGCTGACACAGAGGGCAGATGAAATGGATTTGCAGGAGGGACTCTCCAAAGAGGCAAGGACACTGATAATCCACTGCCACCATGCATCTGTTCTGCATGCCAGAGACTGAAGTGACCAGCCCAGGGGTCCAAGGTCCAGGCATATGGATAGAGGCCCTAAGGCACAGTAATAAGAGAGGCCAGGCTGTAGTCTGGCTTCAAGAGGGTTCAGGTAAAGGGAGGCTCAGAACCACCCAGCTGTGAGTTCCCCCAAGTCAGACCTTTAGGTGAGGTAGACCCCAGACTTGCAGACCCCACAATGTGGAGAAAGAGCTATCTTCAGCCCTCCCCTGGCCAGACACACATGCTCACCCCACCTCAAGGGAGCCTCTGTGAGACATGCTCCATGTCCTTGGGGACTGGAGGACCCACAGGCAGCCTTCCTGAAGCGTCTATTTTGGCCTCAGAGGTTTGGGGTCAACCCCACTCAGAGCCTACAGAGTAGAAGTTTGTTAGCTCCCTGGAAGTTCCTAGGACCTAGCTACTTCTAGGTCCTGAGCTAGGTCAGGGCCCAAAGGAGACAGGAGTTAACTGAATTGAAAGAGATCACTTGGACAATTAGAGGGTTGTAGGGTGAGCTTCCCTGTCTCTTGAGGGTAAAGGATACTCTGGCCTGCTGGATTCCTTCCAGTCAACTCTTTTGGGGAATCTATTTATTTAATGGGATAAAGCCCCCTCATATTCTTCCTGGTTGGTACTGCAAGGCAAAAATGCACATCTGAGGAATTCCTTGAGGTGTAGAGGGGTCTCCTGCTTCTCTACTTAATTCCCAGCTTTGTTCACTGTCCCCACTGGTAGCTGTCTGTCTCTGAGTCCCCTGTTCAGACCTCACTTGGTCCCCAAAGACTTGCTCTCTTGAAATTCTTGTTTTCAGCTGAATTTAACATGTCCTTTTGACATTTGAAGGTGGTGCTGGGAGTTGGAGTGACCTAGGGTAAGCTCAGTTCAGCCACTTTCTGGTCTAGTAAACTTGGTCAGGCAAGTTATTGAACTTCTTTCTCAGTGATGATTCCTTCATGGGTTCCCTCCTTGTCTTTTAAAAGCCTCCTTTCTCTCCTCACACACATTGTGCATGGCTGTTTCTATGAGGAAAACCACTTCCTTCCAACAAAGGAATCTTGGTGTCTGCCAGGCCTGCTAAGCGGCAAACCAGCTTTTGGCACCTGCGAGTATGTGGGGAGGAAGTCAAGAGCTGCCGGAGCCTGTGGCAGCTTGTCCAGCTGTTTCCCCAGCAAAGCCAGTCAAGCTCTGTCATTTTAATGTGGCTCATCCCCTGATAATGCCCCAGAGGCTGGCAAACAGCTGGTAAATAGTGGGAAAACACATTCAACTCCACGTGGAAAGTGATTCAATTAATCTCCCCTATTACTCTGGCTGTTCTTGAAAGGCTGAAATCAACCAGTTCCTGCTGTAGAGTCCTATAATCTTCTGGCTTTCTTGACACCAGTCAAAATTAGGTAGATAAAGCTCTCATTTTTTCCCCCATCTGGAAGAAGCCAGGCCCTATTTGGATGACAGTCAGGGAAAGATCCAGTCGTCTATCCATTTCTTACCCAGACAGATGAGAAATCAACCAGGATGCACACAGCACTGCTCATCAACTCCTGCACAGGCTTCTAATGAATATTCACATCACGAATCCTGGTGTCCCCTATTTCCTCCATTAGGCAGAACATGTTAGTAGAGACAGGCAACAGAGTTTTGGTCACTAAATGTAATTCTCTTCCATGTTCATACACAAATCATAGCCCTTCATATACCAGCCATCACGATCCCCTCCCTCCCTCTTTCCTTGCCTCTTCTCTCCTTCTTTCTGGGGAATCTATTTCCTAATGAGAACCTGGTAATCTGGGAAAGAGCCAACAAGTGTTGAGCTACCTAGTCTTCATCTCATAGTAGAATTCTGGAAGACAAACCTACCTCTAATCCCTTGCTCTTTTCCCTGTGGCCACACTGCATGTCCGTGAGAAGTTGGCTGAATTTCAAGTGTCCCTCATCACTGAGCTAAAATAGGCAATGTACAAATACACAGTCATTGAGTTATTTACTCAACAAGTATTGCTAAGTATCTACTAGGTATGGGGGCTCTGCCTATGCAGGGGCTCAGACAGAGTGGTAATCTAGACAAAATACTCCATCCCCTTACAAAGCTCAGGATCCCATAGAGGACACACTTAAGTAAAAACATGGTGAAGTGAGGCTTTCAATAGCAAAGTCAACATATGGTCTATTATTTCTAACAGGATTAAACTTCCTGCGCCTTGAGGTTTTTTTTTTTTTTATCTTCTATCTATCCAAGCACATAATGCCTTTGTTGGGCCCCTACCCTGCTTGGGGAAGGCAGTGATGAATGAAAGACATGGACACTGCCACTGAGATGACTCATGCCGCCGGGGAGCAGAAAGAGCAGGGAACAGTGCCCATCTGTGTGGTGAGATCTGGGAGAAAAGCCAGCATGAGATGGCAGGAACAGTGGCGTGGGGCTGGGGAGAGTGTCGGGGGACAGGACTGCTTGGGCAAGACAATTCAAGAAACTGGACAAAATCACCAAGATTCTGCAAAGAGGCTGCCTTCATCTCAGAAATAGGATTTCTCAAATAGGCTCTTGTATGGGAGAAGGCATAAGGAATTATAATAATCTCCAAATGAATGTGATATATTTTTATTGTTTTTTAGGGATAGGCATTTGAAGTCATTGTGAACAGATCATTTATTAAAAACTTGATTCCTTACAAATACTAAAACAAATCTTTCCTATTAATATAAGCTCCTAATTCAATCACCAAATTCTTTGAGAGCGAGGATTGTTTTCCTCTTAAATCATATTGTTTATGAAAATCCTAGACTTCTGGTAAAGATGGCAGCATAGATAAACATGGCTCAACTCCTCAAAAAAACACAAAAATTACAACTAAATTATAAAACAACCATCACTTAGAACCATCAGAACTTGGGTTGAATAGAAGTCTGACAACCAAAATATATAAAGAAAATATTAGAGGAATTCAAGAAAGATATAGACAGCAACACAATTTTAGTGGGGATTTTAACACCCCACTATCAAAAATGGACAGATCTTCCAAACAAAATATCAACAAAGACATTGCGGCATTAAACAACACTCTTGATGAAATGGACCTAACTGATATATACAGAGCTCTTCACCCCAAAGAAGCTAAATACACATTCTTTTCAAATGCACATGGAACATTCTCAAAGATAGACCACATGATAGGACACAAAACGAGCCTCAACAAATTCAAGAATATTGAAATCATACCAAGCATTTTCTCTGACCACAAGGGACTGAAACTGGAAACCAACCCCAAAGGAAAAAACCCAAAACACCCAAAATCATGGAGACTGAATGGTATGCTATTAAACTATGAATGGGTCAAGAATGAAATTAGGGAAGATATCAAAACGTTTCTGGAAACAAATGAAAACAATCTCACAACAACCCAAAACTTATGGGACACAGCGAAGGCAGTCCTGAAAGGGAAGTTTATAGCAATACAGGCCTACTTAAAGAAAATAGAAACATTTCAAACAAACGACCTTACTCTACATCTGCAAGAACTCGAGGAACAACAACAAAAACAGCCCAAAGCAAGTAGAAGGAAGGAAATAACCAAGATCAGAGCAGAACTAAATGACATAGAGACTAAAAGCACAATTCTAAGGATCAATGAATCCAGGAGCTGGTTCTTTGAAAAGATAAACAAAATAGACAAGCCTTTAAGTAGGCTCATCAAGAAAAGAAGGAAATGAACACAAATAAACACAATCAGAAATGAAAGAGGAGAGATTACAACTGATACCACAGAAAGAGAAAGGATTGTAAGAAATTACTATGAAGAACTGTATGCCAAGAAATTTGAGAACCTAGGGGAAATGGACACATTTCTAGAAAAATATAATCTCCCAAAACTCAATGAAAAAGAAGTAGAACACCTGAATAGACCAATAACAGCAAAAGAAATTGAAGCAGTAATCAAAAAACTCCCATCACACAAAAGCCCTGGACCAGATGGATTCACAGGAGAATTCTACAAAGCATTTAAGGAAGAGCTAACCCCCATTCTTCACAGACTATTCCAAAAAATCCAAAATGATGGAAAACTCCCAAACTCCTTTTATGAAGCCAGCATCATCCTAATTCCAAAACCAGATAGAGATACAACAAAGAAAGAAAACTTCAGGCCAATATCGCTGATGAACATAGACGCTAAAATCCTCAACAAAATATTGGCAAATCGCATCCAACAATATATCCAAAAGATTATACACCATGACCAAGTGGGATTCATCCCAGGGATGCAAGGATGGTTCAACATTCGCAAAACAGTAAATGTAATTCATCACATAAACAAAAGCAAAGACAAAAACCACATGATCATATCAATAGACGCAGAAAAAGCTTACGATAAGGTACAACACCCATTTATGATAAAAACACTCAGCAAAATGGGAATAGAGGGAACATTCCTCAATATAATAAAGGCCATTTATGAGAGACCTACAGCCAATATCATACTCAATGGGCAAAAACTAAAAGCTTTTCCACTAAAATCAGGAACAAGACAAGGATGTCCACT